ATAATGATTAATTACTTTAATTAATTTGCGCACGACAATAAGGAACTTTAAGTTATGTAATATTAAAAACATTGACAATATTTATTATCATAGTGAAGGTGAATCCGAAAATGAAATTTCATTAAAAAGCAATTGTGGAACGACGGACGTCGAAGTGATATGGAATTTTTAAAATATTTTTTAGCAATTTATTAAGGTGTTTTGAAGAGTTTCCCGGAACTTTTACGAAGTTGAAGAAACTGTGCACTGGAATTAGGTTTGTATAAAGTAATTAAATGTAATTCATCCATATACATGATACACCGAAAAAGGCATCAATACATGACCAATTAGCACCGTTGCAAGTCAGGCGAACTAATGATTATTTCTCAATAACTCACTAATTATTTACAATCAATTAAAATCACAAATTAAGTGTCAATTAAAAAGTGCACGGCGGGTCTTGTAAATAAATTTTATGGTAAAAGCTTTTGTGTATTCGTTTTATTATATTCGTGAAGTGAACAAAATTGTAATAAAATTTCGATTTCACTTATGATTATGGAATTGCAAACTTAAATGAATTTTATTGATTATTTCAAGTATAGGCTTTTAGGCATTATCTTTAATGAAATTAAACAATCGTTATTGTACGTAAAAGTATTTAATGGATTTAAACAAGTATTCGTCCATATTCTTTTTATATATGGCAGATTTTTTAATAGCTCTACTTCCAAGGTGGTCCCATCAGGAAGTATCTGATGATGGAATAATAAAAGGAATTCTTAAAATTTTTAATGAGTGACATTCGGTTTCATAAAACACAATTACGCAAAATCGTACTGATTATGAAAATTAATAATACATATTTTTAGTACATTAAGTTACAGTTAGTAAATTGTCATTAGTTGTCTTTAATAAATTCTGAAAAGCTCGAAAAGAAGAAAAGTATTTAAGTAGAATTCGCGTTTATCTCTATATGTTATGTATAAAATTCTCGTGTCACAATGTTCGTTCCGATACTCCTTCGAAACGGATCGACCGATTCTTATGAATTTTTTTGTTATCCATATTCAGTAAGTCTGAGAATCAGCTAGTATCTATATTTCAAACCCCTAAATGATAAGGGTTGTCCAGTGTCCACCCCAAAAAAATTTTTTTTAATATTTTTATAGAAAATTTTTTTGTTTAAATTTTTTGATGATACAGCATACAAAAATACATACAACCCTTAATTTTCACCCCTCTACATTCAACCCCAATTTTTATTATAGAAGATAGTTATTTCTATTGAACTAAAAAAATGTTCCCTAGATATATATACATGGCAAAACAAAGTTTGCCGGGTCAGCTAGTATTTTATAATAAGATTAAATATTCCTATAAATTCAGTCTTTTTTGAAGTAAGTTAAATGACGTGTCCTTCCTGCCAAGTCTAGAAGCATGAGGCGTGGCGCCAGAATCGCTAATTACGCGTGTCGTAAGCTAACTTGCGATCATGACCTAACTTAACTTCGACGTCTGCCGCCTAAAGGGCAACTTGAATTCAACACGAAGGTTTCAGAAATTTATTTTTACCTTTCTTGTAATACGATGCCCGTGTCATTGTGTTAAAAAGGTAGACATTCTTGTACGTAAACGTAATAGTAGTAATAATATAAATAACAAAAAAAGTGCTTGAAAACGATGGTTTTATATATTATTTTAATATATTAATAATTGTTTGCTTCGTGCGAACAACTAGGAACAAAAAAACAGGAACGCGTAATTTACAACGTTTGGCCTAGTCGGTCGGAACATAGGTAATATGATAAAGTAACTGTTACTTCGTTTTACTCCTGTTCATAAAGGAGAATTCTCTGCACATCATAAATATGCGCATTTTTTGTTGCGGAAATATTTTATAACTATGGATATAAAAGTTTAATTAAACCCAAAGACTTCCATTGTTCAAAATTAAATACTAATAAGTATTTATTTGGATATCGAGGTTATAGTTGTTTTAACTTCGAAAATAATTATTTATAACAACAAATTTACGAAAAGTAACTTGTAAGTGATGATACATGTTATAGCGGACATTTCTTTTAAACTTTTAAAAAGGAACAAGGGGAGTAATGTAAAACATAAATCTAAAAAAAAAAGGAATATTACGCGAAATTTTTCATTCTTTTCCCGATAAACAGTTCCTACGATTAGAATGTTAATCCTAACAAAAAAAACTCTATTTATAATACTAGTATATGGAGCAATAAAAACTATTAAATTATAATTTTCATGCACAGGTATTGCCAACAAAAATACAAATAGTTGTAAATTACATGAATGTTGAAAGATGAGCATTCCGTTAGAATTGCATTTGTAACCACAACTCTAATGGAACTCTCTCACGCAATACCACAAAATACAGGTAGGTACATGAATTAAATAAAGATGCCGCTAGAAAACATGACTATGGCCTATTAATTACGTAAATTAAGTTGGAAATGGCAAGGCGTGCCCTTGTGACTTGTAAATGTTGTGTTATTCGTGATATTATTATTGAAATGACCACCAAACAGGCTAATAAGGGAACAGATTTAACCAACATTAAAACATTTTACGGCGAATACATGGAAAACTCATACAAAACATTGGTGACTGTTCAATACCAATGTTACCATTTGCTAGTATATTTAAATTTATCACGGCTAAGTCATTGAGGGACAATAAAATAAAAAGTGCGAAGCGCCGGCGCCACGATATTATTTGCTTTTCTTTGAGCACGTCTAGCCATAGAAAAAAATGATCTACTAGTTAAATAAGGTAATGGCGGCAAAACTAGAAACGCTATACGTTCAAGTATATAACAATAATATAGAACAGTTATTAAAAAAAGCACAGAGAAATGTACAAAGCCGATAATAATATATGAACGTTATAATTTCTCACGTCGACCCCAAACCGCAAACTTCCTCATAACTTTAATATGCTGACCTTAACTTTGGGTCACCGCACCCGTTAGATCCTCTCATTACACTGGTATAATGTAAGATATTTTATACCGTAATTAAGGAAATGATAGTACATTATTTTTAGAATCGCTTACAACATTTTCCATTAAACACTAATAATCTTACAGTTATTAAAATATTGTTTGAACTCAGTCAAGCCATTGCAGCAAGCTCATTGATCACCAAGGACTCACTGGACTGGCAAGGGAATTACTAAGGCGTAAATCTTTGGTCTTCAACGTGATGTCTCTGACCTAACAAACAATTTTCACCAACCTAGCCATGTGAGCCATCGACTTGTCAGGTCTTTGGAACGCATCAGAGGCGTCAAATTGCTGATACCCAGCAGACGTGTTACAATTAATTTTATTGTCCTTGGTACTTATTAATACCCTAGTAATATTATTTAGTAAACAATCTCACTTTTATTAATTGTTTATATAAAAAGTAGTTATTAAAGATTTCCCTTTTCTCTGAGGCAGTAATGATATAATTATAATGTTTCCATCAATCATTATCAAGATGGCGTTGAGTCAACCAAAAAGTTATTAAGGTATAAATTAACAGCGTTGAATCTTCGATAATCTATATATTTATTGTATAGTAGTATAATAATATTTGTATTTGCGTGTTGTTCCCACCAGAATGTAAGTGCGTGCTCCTATTTCACCATGCCTCCTGCTGATAGAGGCCAGATCTTTGTTTTTAGTTTATTTTATTATTATTAATTACTTAAGGTGTCATGTGGAACATGGTGTAATGATTGCAGCTCCTTACAAACATTGTGTGAAACAAAAAACTTGGCGATTAAATAGAGTGGCGGAGAGTTTATTGCCAGTTCTTCTCTTCCGTTCTACGCCCTTGATTTGAGAACTGGCAGTAAATGTAAAATTAGAAGCATTTCATATATATATTTATTTTTTGACGTTCATAAGTGTACATTTTGGTGCCGATATGAATAAATGATTTTTGAATTGAATTGATTTACTTTCTTTATAAGATAATATGAGTTTCGATCAAGTTATAATAGATAGCAGGGTAATTTGTTTAATATAATAATTGCAGTAACTATGGAATTATCTATGTGTGCATGAACAGTGAAATAACAGTTGAAAAACAGCATCTTAGACCTAAAAAAAATCTGATAGAGATTGCATACGAATAAATAATGTAATGAAGTACTGTTAGTGAATACTTAAGCCCTCCAAATGCCACGAGGCCAGTACGCCGGCCCATGTCCCGTTGGATAAAATGGAGGACCTAAGCTCTTACTCTGCAACTTCCAATAGCAATACCGACAGCCATCGCGATCCCAACCACGACTTTTTTACCGTGTGATACCAAGGTTGAGATATCAGCCGGTATCTAGAGAACTTAAAAACGTCGAGTTAGATGTCGCTATTGTAATTAACAGAGCCAGAAGCCATGAAGCAAAGTTCCATATGTTGAAGGCCAAGACACATTTTGGGTCGCAGAGCCAGCGGAATGTAATGTATATGTAAATAAAGCTATATATTTAGGTCATTAACGACGCATCGAATTTTATCACATACAAATATTTCTCGCGTGAAACCGCGCGAACCGAAATCAGATGAGTCTACAATATTGACTGAATATTTTCGAGGCCCACTGTTTGCAGTCTGGCAGCCAGTTGACGTGATGTTTGCTAACGTCGTATCGAAAAATTTCAATTCGATGGACTGAAATTCATTGTATCAAAAGTCTGTCAACAAGATGTGTTTGGGGAATTTAAACTGAAATTTAAGGATATACTACTAGTACTGTACATTTCTGTGTGAATTAAAGAGATTATTTTATTCAAAATATAATAATTTATTTTGCAGCACTTTGAATGTCCGAAACGAAAAAAGGGGTATTAAAAGTTTACAATGTTTACAAATCTCTCAAGTTTCAAAGTTTTGTGGATTACTTTTAGAGTCGGTAATAACACGAAACATATTGGTTTCAAATACAATATAAGATACGTTGAATATATTATTCTTACGCAGTCCTACGCAAATATCAGTCCTATTGCGGAACAACTAAAAAGCTCTTCAACCATTCTTCCGATTTGCTTTTACTGTTAGTAAAACAATACCCATCGAAAGCCTTAAAACTAAACTTACCTGCAAACGGTACATCGCAGACGTATTCTTCAACACAATTGTCAGTGTTACCACTCCTATCAGTGGCGCCACTAGCCACGGAGACTGCTGAAGCTGCTCTCAGCAGACTGATGTCGGTCTCTGTCTGACTGTCTCGTAACGTTGATCTTCTCTTGTATTCCTGGTAAATAATGTTTCATTACTCTCCTATACACGGGGTAACGAGATATTTTTTCAGTCTTAGTTTAATTGTTCACACAAGTATACAGGTTAATCAGAGAATACGTCAGTCAATAAGTCAATCTTTCTGCTGCATAAATAGCATTTTTAAATTATGAGATTTATGTAACATATATTAACGTCACTTGATTAATACAAATTTGTATATTTGTAAAGCTTTCTACAAATTTGACGAATATCTAAATGATACTAATTCCTGGTATTGATTTGCGCCAGTACAAACAATTTGTATGACTCAAAACTTGGCGATTAAAAAGAGTGGCGGAGAGTTTCTTGCCAGTTCTTCTAGCCCGCTCTACGCCCTTGACTTGCAAACTGGTAGTAAATGTAAATTTAGAATCAATTTAAGATCTTTTCTGTTGACGTTCATAAGAGTACTTGTTCACCTATAGGAATAAAGTTATTTTGACTTTAAATTTTTAGTTTTCCAATTTCATTAGAAATTAGAATATCTTTAGTGAGAAAATATGGTTTAGAATTTTAAATAATATCCACGGTGAAACAATATTTAATTAGAACTACGAAGATCATAGCGGATATAATTGGCATTACTTTGGATGTTAAGTTTCCTAAATTTTAATTAAAGTAGCAATAATCATGGGAAATTGTATTTTTAAGGTCAAGGTGGAAAATCAATATCATTATGGACTTTTTGGTAAGTAAAAACAGAAAAGTATTGTACCATGCAAATTCAATATATTTTTATATTAAGTGTAATTTTATGTTTTTACATCTGCGTTATATTGGAAGAAACTGCAACAGTAAGATACTTTTATTTTGACCTGTTCTGTGATATTGTTTGGAATGTAAATAAGGTGCTTATTTATTTTTAGATATACCCAATAAGTTATGCTATGTACCTATGTGTTAGACAATACTGGATTTATTACGGATATTTTTCTTACAAAGAAAACTTAGGATGAGTTATGAGTACATATTTTACATAATGAATATTGAAATGTTTTAACACCGTTATGAACTCCTTATCTATCCTATCCTTAGCTATTATCCTTTGATAAAAACGAATCTGTTAAAAATCTCCTACCAGAATATTTATACCTAAAGATACTCGTACTCACCTCCGGATAAGCGGGGTAACATTCATTCTAAGTTGCTCATTTCACTCGACTAACACACTCAGAGATTTTAATTAAGAGTTAAAGGTTACTTCAACTAAGGCAAGGTCACAATACATACAATAACAAATTGTAATTAAATGTTTTAAATATAATAAAATTTTAAATCTTCGATGTTTATGTACGGCTGTGATTCATTATTTTAATTAGATTTTTCTCCTGTTTCTTTTGGAGCGTAGAAGTTAATACATACAATATACAAGGTCAATAATATCGGTATAGTTGAGTTCTAAGGTTCGATGTATTTATATGTCGATCACAGAAAATAATTGATTTTTCTTTATACAGTAGAACCTCTATAAGACGAACATCAAGGGAGACGCCAAAAAATTCGAGTTATAGAGTTTTCAACTTATGGAGGATTTCGACTTAGGCGGATTTTGATTCGACATAAAGAGTTTGAGGTTTAAGTTTTTAGTTTACGTTTCACTGCACTCATGTTAACTGTTGTACTAATTGATGTGTATTGCAGTAGAACCAAATTACTTCTGACAGTATTAAAGTCGAAAACAAATGACTGGCTTAGCTAAATTTCCAAGGGAATCAAAATTGAACACCTGACACAAAGCAAGCAAACACGTGTTTCCATGAGTCATAAATTTATTATTGTATACTCCTAAAATGTTTTCTAAGAAACAATAGTGTACTCACATTGGCGGCAAGTTCTTAAAGTCGGTAACTTATTTTTGTTCGAACAATAGAGATAATAAATTCCAAATGATCAAGTTGTAAAGGTTGTAAAATAAAACGTTCCTATGTTCGAGATACAGAGGTCAAATTTAATTTTTCGAGTTATAGAGTAAAAATATGTACCAAAATCGCTTGGAGGGACTCGGTGATTATTTCGATTAACAGAGGGTCAAGATTTCAAGTAATGGAGGATTTGGTGTTTTAAGCGAAGGGAACAAAACATTTTTTCGAGATTTGGAGGTTTTTGACTAATCGAGGTTCGACTTAACGAGGTGCTACGTACTAGGTCCTTACTTATGACATTAGCGTTTTGTCGTACCGGCTAATTTGACCTCAAATATCTTCTCTTTGGTTTGGAATTCCAAATTCAATTGTTAACAGCTTTTTACTCGTGCAGTTTTTCGAAAAACAGATTCCTTTCATTTTCTAGTTTTTATTTTTATTTCTTTTCGTCACCACACGAAAAGAGTGACCTTGTTACACCTGGTACAAATAGATTTGTAAAATGGAAAATATGAATCGCGTTATTTACGAGTACGAGTTCCACCGTGGCACCAGTGCTGCAGAAACGGCACAAAAATTAAAGTTGTGTATTGCGGCGGCGTCGCAAAACAAAAAAAAAGCGTGCGTACAAAGTAAACATGTCAGAAGTGAAACTTGTTTGTAAATTTATTATTACTAGTTTTATTTTATTTGTGAATATAGATATACAAATACATGGAGTGATCATATATGGTACATGATCATCTATTGGGGCTTTTAGCTGAGAATTTATGGAATATTAGTATTTTATATTTTATGCAAATAATTTATTGAAATCTCAAATGACGAATTGTAAATGAAAATGCCAGTCAATAGAAATTTTTAGTTGAATTTTTTTTTATAAAAATTTCGTAAAGAGAATTTATAAAATATTATTATTTTATATTTTATGAAAAATAATTTCTTGAAATCTCAAATGACGAATTTTCTTCTTCTTCTGACGATCTTTCTCTATCTTTCTCACTAAAGCTCCCACTTCTCGCTCCATGGCACTGTGCGTGATACGACTTTCGCTCTATCTCACTTGCTTGCTTCCTACTCTCGCTTCATGGCTATTTCCTTCATACTACGTTCGCCCTTTCTCACTCTCTCTCAATCGGTCTCTCCCTATTTTCTTCGACAAAAACGCTGCACATCTTCGTGACGCTAATATTATTATTATAGCGTTTCATCCGTAAAAAATTTACCCTCATACACCTAAAGAAGTTAAGAAAAAGAAGAGTTTTTGGTTCCAGCGACTTCGTTCTGGAAATTTCGACCTGCAGACCAGCCCTGTGGACGGACAGATACTAAAGTAGATAACGAAAGATTGAAGGCTATTGTGAAAGCAGATCCATCGCAATCTACGTCTAAGTTAGCTGCAGGCAGCGGCGTAAGTGATAAGATGGCAAAAGTGCATAGATAGCAATGGTAAATACCTTGATTAATTAAATAGTACATTCTATTTAAAAAAATCTACTTTTTGTTCCTCACATAGAAAACACCAATTTCATATATAAGGACTTAATATTTTAACCATTGGTGAGTTTAAAACCAACATCAACACTTTAGGTAAACACAAAAAATGTATTACTACACTCTTATAGTATATCAAGAACTCTTTATTATATGTATGCACGCATCTTTATTCAGATTTGAAAAACATTGCCTACGCTTATATTTTACTTACCAAAAGAGATATTCGAGTGTCAGAAGGCATGATTGCTTTAAAATTATTGCAGGCGCTTTATTTAAAACATACAAAATATACGGTGAGTGCATAAAAACAAAGAAAACAAAATTAAGAAATAATAAAAATTTATTCACGTAAAATATGTAAATAATCGGAAATAATACATGAAAGCCTTAAATAGGTAACAGAAAGAAACTTAAAACTTAACATAAATATAAAGTTGCATACGCCTTATCTACTTATCATCACTTCTATAATACTAATTGTCAGTTCCTAAATTGATTTAACGAATCGTTTTTATTTTAAACAGAAATCATACAATCTGCATATAACATTTTGTATAATAATTTGGAGAAACACTTTCATTTAAATTAAACGTGTATATTTTATAAAAAACAAAATAAATGCTATAAGAAAATGTATGTTTTTGATTTAATTACTAAATAGCACCTTAAGAAATACTTGTAAAATATAAAATCTATTTACAATACTTTTTATCTCAGCACAATATTTGAAGATCGATACAGTGTAAACATAATTTAATTGGTTTCAAAAAATTGGCAAACCTTTGACCCCATTCAAATACCAAAAACTTTCCCACTAAAAAATAGCGAATAATATTTTTTTAACAGAACTGATATTAAAATATATCTCTTACTCTGCTTTGACAGCAAGGGGAACAGAAATCTTTTTTTTTTTAAATGGAATCTCGCTGTTGGCCTTAAGGCCTTTTACAACTCAGTTCGGGCTGTTTTGGCGTTAAAATTAGTTTAAATTGTAATATTTATATATCAAGGCAGTGGCGCTACAACCCTATGATTCTCGGCCTTGGTTTTATCAATTTTATTTCATCGTAGGTGTAAATTCATTGCGCACATATAATGATACATAGCTGAGGTGTCAGACACAACATAAGATCGAGAATCGCACGCTAGTTCATATATATGGTAAAAAAATAGATAGGGATAGCTGACGACTGGCCAACAATTTGCCTGTAACTATGTTTACACTGTAAATAAATGCACAAATGGCGAATTTTACCACTTAAACTAAATATCACGGTATCGTAACATCGCCTTGCGATTTCTTTCTAATTCTTATTTCTTCTACAACCTCCATTATAAGCTGAAATATTTTAAATAATTAATTTGTGCTGTGGTCACATGCAAGTGCGAGAAAAGACATGATTATGTTAGCCCAAATATCGTTCAAGACTAGAATCAAATTATAGCCATTAACGCAACAAATATTAGGTAATAGTTTATATTTTTACTATCGATTTAAATACACTTTTAACAAATTCAAAGGCTTTTGAATATAACCATATCTAATTATAAGATTATTGTTTAGACAATGTTGGAAATATGGTAAAATATGATTAGTTCAAACTGATAAAAGTTTACTTAAACTAATTGTGAATGAATAGTCAAACGCATGCAAAATAAGATAAAGCTTCCAAAATAATAAGAACTAAAAGTGCCCCTTCCACTGCTATTTCTTTAATCAAAAAGGATAATAGGCGTAAATTATTTACATAAATTTATATACAAATACGTTTGACGTGTTCCATTTGTAGTTTTTATCCCAGGCCTCGACTTGTCTACCCACATCCAAAACTTATAAAATTAAATGTTTCTTAATTATCGACAAATAACAGGATTTTACGCTAGAATTAAAATTTACAAGACCCGATTAAAAGGCGCTTGATTACCACAATTTATCTATTAAATTTAAATGAAAATTATAAATCTTTCTGACGTGCTATGAAACAAATAAAGTTATAGGACGCGCTTTAATCGGGTAAGTCTTTAGCTGTTTGATAAGTCAAGTATTTCAAAGCTTAATGACCTATTTATTAAGACATCATGCATCAACAAACATGCATCCGTATTAACTGCATAAATTTACAACTACCCACACTAACAAAAATCTAGCCAGTCAAGAAATCATTAACCTACAAGTCCCGTATTCCAGAACTTGAAACTAGTGTCATTATCCCTTGCTACGTTTATATTTTTTATAGCAGCGAAACAAGAACGTTTTAAATTCGAAAAAAAAATAGAAATATATATATATATATATATAATTAGAATATTACATCATATCGAAGGAGATAAATTTCTACCCACACAAACTTATAAAAGAAGAAAGCAGAATCAGCTTAAGAAAACCTTCTAGAACTGACCTGACTTAACGGTCGTATCCTTTCATGAATGCTTCTCTCCGCTTGCTTGGCCGACGGTGGCGGATGGTCAGGCGTAGGTGGCTGTTCATAATGGCTTGGAGACAGAGGAATATCAATCTTCGGCCCATCGCAATACCGCTCACAATCGCTTGGACTGTTCATTGACTGATCGTCCAACAAACTCTCCAGAGAAGACCTTTCTTGGTTCGAATACTTTTTGACCCTCTCGATCGTATCCTCGCTTTGGGGTCCAAAATTGTTTCTTCTCAATTTCCGTCTTGGATTCTGCTCTTTTATCACCACGTTTTCGTACATTGCAGTGATTGCGACCGGCTGCGTGCGAGTTTTGAGGCTGGGCCGTGGGTTTGGGACCGGAATCGCCCGAGGCGAATTGTGGTTCTCCTCATAGTCCATGTAGGAAAGTTTACCGTCAACGTATTGATCGACTGATCGACCGTGCTTGAGGTAGTGCTTTGAACCCTGGAACAAACAAAGTATAGTTATATCATAGCATTATTCAAAGCTAAACCAGCATAAATATAATATACAGGTGATATTCATCAACAGTAGTACGCCACATTTTATATGTTTGTGACATACGGGAGTCATACTTAGCCTAAGTCTAGACCAGTGTTTCCCAACCTTTTTGTGCCATACCCACCTTTATAAAATTCCCCCTCCCCCCCCCATGTAACATACATAATTTTTAATATGAAGAAATTGAATTGTTCATATAAGACTTAAGTTAATTTTCGAATAGCCCCTCATAACCAAATTGCCCCATGAGGGGCGTTGCCTCCACGTTGGAAAACACTGGTCTATCATCTGTCAAGAGCTGTTTTCTGTATGTTAATTCTGTAGAAAATCTGCAGCTCAAGATGAGATTGTGACTTCAGTTACGAATTAGTAAGTTAATGTATACTAACTACTATAACCCAACTACAAATATATCTAACAATTTGCAATCATTGGCACTACAATTGTAAACAGTTGAAACATTTCTTGCTAATCGCCAGAGGAAAATTTTATTTACAAACAATTGAACTAATTCAAAGCCAAACCTAGTGCAACTAAATCTAAATCAAATCATACTCGTGTGTAGTACTCAGAGTCGACTATTAAATAACTTACTAAGAATCACAATGCCTGCGCAAGTACTCTAACTACCAATACCGATAACGACCCCAACATTTAAGCCCAAACTTCAAGATAGTTTAATTAAATTAAAAAATTTACTTATTTTAGACTTTGTATCGGTATTGAGATTTCCAGAGTGCGGACGCTGTTGTGGTTGCTGATTACTTTCTGAAAATGACTTTAATGAACAACTCTGAGTGTGGCTATACTACGTGCGTAGGTTATGTATGTAACGTCCCTACTCCTTGGTAAAATCTACTACCGTTAATAACGACGGGTACTTACTCCTATATGTAAGGTTACTTAAACCGTACCACAGAACAATATATATATAAGACAAATACAGTCTACATAAAATATGATTGTCGCATCCAGGTTTCATGGTGCTAAGTAAACTACGGTGATACAGAAGTCCCCAACATGACGACTCACCTGTATTTCGTCCAAGTCATCTTGACTTCTGGCATGAGATCTTAGCTCATAGCTGTAGCCAGATGACGGAGAGTTGGCATGGGTGGGGGAGACTGATAAATTCCTCCGGGGAGGCTTCTTGGGAGGGGTAGGCTGTTGAAATAGATCTATCTTAGGTACTATTCTTGGGGTGTTTAGGACATATTATAGCGCTTAAATAATTATATGCTAAAGTAGATATAATAGTGTTTTATACCATGACCCGCTAACATATTATATATAGAATATAGAAAAAAAAGGCCGCCAGTTGCCCGACTTTTAATTTAATTATGTCAATTGTATTATAATTATGTATGCGACGAAGTGTTAATAAATAAATAAAATAGTTTTATCTCTTCCTTGTATGGATATTCTAGAAATGTTATTATTCGTTCACAAAAACATAAATATTTTTAAGTCAACGGGAATGAACAACTGCCGAAGTAGACGAAAAAAAAATATTATATTAATGTTGACAATGTACTAATATATTTTAATATTTTAGTGATAAAATAACATAATATTTGACTATGATGATATGATTGATAATGTTATATGTAACTACTAGGTATGTAAAATTCTACCTTTTCATTATTTAAGATGAATTTGCACGCACATGTGGCAGAATACGCGAAGTTTAGATTGACCACCATAATATTTTTGTACCATATTTCCAAATAATTAAATAATAATAAAAAAACATATGAAAGTTCTATATTTTTTCATGTTATAAATATACATTCAGTCAAACACGCCTACACATCTCCAGTTACAGGAAAACGTAACTCGCTACATTAAAGTAATAGTGAAATCGTTGGCAATTTACGAGAATGTCATCGTCTATATGGGCACTGTCTTCGCATGCAGATAAGTGGATACAATTGCGTAATTGTGAATGATCATGGACCATCCGATTGTGGCTTAAAGTGAGCAAATTATTTCCTACCCTTATGGCCTATTACAGGAGCAAAGAAATCACTGTACCTAGTATGCATTATTTATTTCATACAAAAAGTTATAGTATCATCAATCCATGTTTAAGAGCCGTTATAGGAACTATTTGTTATAGTCTTTAGAAATATATTGTTGATATGTTGGCAAATTGGCTAAACACCTGAGCGTTTCTTAAGGCAGGTTTTGCCGCGCACCACCACTACGTGGAAGCTGCCCACTGTAGTATTACGAACCAAGTTTACTTAGGGTCCTTGAAGAAAAGAGCGTGCACATTCTTAGAAGGCCAACAACGCCCTTGCTTTTATGCAGTGTGAGTGTCCATGGGCGGTCGTATCACTTAACATCATATGAGCCTAATGCCCGTTTGCCGCCTGTTATATAAAAACCAGCTTTCATACATTCTCTACATTTGACGCTTAAAAGAGACGGTACAAAATATTTTATGTTTTAAATACATACTATATAAGAAATCATCCATTTTCTCGAAACATATAATATTGAAAGCATATAGTAGCAGAGTTAATATACGTTTATAAATTTTGTATCGATAAAGATATTAGTTTTTTTTACCGTTGCATGTAATTTTATATTAAATTTTTTATGTTTGGGTTGTCTGGAAGCTGCTTTTAGCAGAAACACCTCCCATTTACAGCCTGTATTTTTTAAATTTAATCCTGTTTTATGTTATAGTGATATAAATAGTGTTATTATATTTATAACCTATGTTCAAATAACAGGTACAATTCACAGTAAATCCGGAACATTTTCCGAGAATTAAAGCGCTTAAACTCCTTACTTAACCCAATCTATCAAGCGACAAGCGGGGCGAGTAATTCGATCTCAAGCCGCGGATGAGGTCTAAATTGGAAGCAGGCGGACGTTGAATGGACAATTTTCTCCATAAAAGCCTATTAGACATAGATATCCTTTCACGATAATGCTTATTGCGTGTAATTGTGCGGCTGATTTGAGTATTATGTTAATTTTCGCAATTACAAGGCATTTTCTTCGACTGCGCGTTTAGTAACAGTTTTTAAATTGTTGCTATCTAAGTTCATGTTTGTTAGATACAGATAATCACTTAGCATAAAGATATAAAGAAAAAACGATTAAGGAATTGTTCAGACAATGAACTCAAACATCAAACGCGTAGCTCTCTTTATGTTTGTTATATTAATAATAATTATTTCTTAAAACGCCCGATATGTCGAAAGATTTTTTAAGTTATATTTATATTTTTTATTTGAATAAGGAATATTTTTAATTAAGATAATAATATGTTCGAAATAGACAATTTTGTTAGGGGTGACCCATAATTTTTTGACACAGATTTAGTTTAGATTCTCGTTAGCTCTCAATAATATATTGTTTGGTGAGAGTTTGTTCGTATTCTTAACTATTTGTGGCAATTTTATTT